TGGAGCGGCCACAGGGGCAACGTTCCCAAGGAGTCCGGTGACTGGAACAGGCTCATACGCCATTCAATTTTTCCGGATTCTGGAGCCTGTGTACACCATAGGTTTGAAGTCTAGGTACCCTAGGCAGACATGCATGTCCACCAGTACGTTTGTAAGCACCAGACTTTCTTAATCACCCTTTCAATTATGTTAGGAACCCCCCACCCGCCGCTGAGTGACTTTAAACCAATTTAGCTCAAATTACTAGGTGTTAGTTTGCAGGGATTTGATTGGTTCCAAATTTTATTGATCGAGGGATTGATATCATTTGGAGACCTACTGATAACTAGAGTGTACTAGACAGCCTGGTTAGTTATCCTTGATCATAGGTGTGTACATTCTTCCTCCTGTGTTAAGTGGTATAATATAGTGAAGAATATTTAGGTTTAGGCTTAGAGTGTCAGGTAAAGAGGCAAAGTCAATAAAGGAGGTCGCGAAGCTACACCGATTGATATGGCTAGGAAAGGTATTACGCAGATGGAGCCATCACTTTCCTCAACGAGCAATGTTAGCTGACATGGAATCAGGTTTAATAATAATAATAATTTGCTTTATTCCAAAACAGTACTTGTGATACAGAATGGAATTCTCAGCATTTTACTACAGTATTGCATCCAGTTTGTACATAAACAGTAAATAAAGTTCTACATAGATTAAGGGTAATCTCGGTTAGTTTTGACAACAACATATTGGCATGTGGGTAACAAAGCCGAAATTGAACAGTGTTTGAAGGTGTTAGAAACGTTTACTGGCGTAGGCGGTAACTTAAGGTCGAGATATACAGAGTGTGAAGGAACGAAGAATGTTTTAAATAGTTTGTAAAGAAGAGAGAACCAAAACAGTACATAACAAAAAAGAGAGAGAAAATAAAAAGAAAGAAAGAAAAAACGTTGTACCTATAAAAGATATGAGTTGGAAAGACGTGATCCAATTGTTCTACTGACTATTTAATAAGTTATAGGTTTCACGCCTAATGCTTTCTGCATCGCAGAGAACACGAGCTAAGTAGGGTATGGTTGAGCTTTTCTACTTACTAGTGCGAGAATATAGTTTTCTATATAGGCTTCTGGTCTGGTATGGCCTCATGAGATACAAGGGAGAGTTGTGAATGAAGAGGGTGGTGTGAGTTAGATAGGATGGATTTAGCCCATGTTTCACATGAGTCCAAATGCCTGTCAACCAGAATATTAACAAGCTGGTTAAGTGGCATCCTGTGGCTTACCCTGCTGACAACCTTTAACATCCTGCGTAATAAGGTATAGTCTTTCTTCAGTAGCCAGCCCAGGAAAAAGTAAGGGGGAACAATAGAGAATAATAGGCAGAATACGGGAGTTAACGAATTGTAGCAGTAAGGGCTGGGTTATTCCAGAATGTCTTAACTTCTTGATGTAGGAGGTAAGGCGGAATATTTTCTTAGAAATCATCAAGATATGAGACGACCATGAAAAATCAGAAGATAGAATGATGCCAAGATATTTAATTTCCGACTTGGTTTCAATTTCAGTGCCATCTATGTTGCACACCGCGTGAGTTCTAACCAGTTTGTTTAGGTCAGTCAGATTTTGCCTAAAGGTGAAATTGACTGTTTGGAATTTAGAGAGACTTGAGATGAGTAGACCGTTTTCCTTGGACCACTGGCTGATTTCTGATAAGAAGCCATTTAGTTTAGAGCAGTCACTTTGACATTTGACAAGCAAAGATACAGTCAGATTGGAAAAGAGTTAAGAGTGGTCGAATCAAAGCCTGGCATTATCCATGAAGACTTTGACTTTCCGTTCCAGTCACACAGAGAGTTGCTGACTGTCCAATTTGAGCCATCGAAATACTAAGAACAAATAACTGTTGGCGATATCATCCAAAAATCGTTGTCAGATGCAACAAATCTTTGCAATCTCCTACATTCATTAAGTCCTAATACTTGTGAATCTGGCTTTTCAGACATTGAGATTGTCAATGATTCTCTAGCTGATTTTACCCCGTGATCGAACTTAACTCAAGTAATTTAATCCTCACCCTCATTCCCGTCTTGTAGTCGATGAAAAGATAAGTTTCGTAAGTTAATTCACACGCAGCATAACAAATCGAAAATCAATAAGTGAAAATATGAAAGGTTGTTTCAAAGCTAAATTGATTGATAATGCTAGTCAATTTCTTCTCTCAAGCCTTTTGAAATTCATAAAGGCTATCGCGCACTATACATATATATATATATATATATATATATATATATATATATATATATACGATTGTACAGCTTGATAACCCCAATGTGAAGTCAGTGCTACTCTACAGATCACACACTTGGCGCCGCGCCGCTTCACGAAGGGCACTTCGAACAAACTACACACCTGCATCAACAGCTGTCTTCGCTCAATGCTACTCAAGATTAGATGGCCAACCAGAAAAGATCAGCAATAGTGAGGGACCTCTGGCAATGAGAGAACTAACCCAGCAGGAACCAATTGTGAACCAAAATGCAGGAAGAAATCCAGGTGGTGGATTGGCCATAATCTGAGAAAACAAACCATCAAGTGAGTAACATCACACACCAGGCCATCGCTCAAGTGGAACCCGAATGGGAAGCTGCGAGTTGGTCGTCAGTGCGAGGAGGTCATGCAAAATGGAGACGAAAACATGGGAGTAGACATGGAGTCAGGTGAAAACGTTGGCGGAAAACCGAACGCAATGGAGATGTGCGGCTAAAGACCCATGATCCTTTAGAAATTAAAGGAGACGATAATAATAATAATACAGCTTGATAATAAATTCGTTGAAAAGTGTCTCTTCGCTGAATCACTTGTTTTGGTCTTTGATAAGAGATACATCAATGAAATAAAATGGATGTCCCTTGCTTTATCCTCCTCTCCAAGGTGTTATTCATCAGATGATTTAAATGATTGTAATCTTGGAATACGATATCAACTGGAGTGAATATATTACTAACCACCTAAAGTCAATGGGTTTCGAGTTCGAACCCTACTACGCCTACTTCAGCCTGAACAAATTGACGGGCAGTTTCACTAGCCCTAAGACAATAAATGCAGATTCATGTAGTGTGGTATTTTCTGTACTCTAAAGTTTCTGTAACAAGTTGGTTGATTTTCTGGGTTAGGGTCGTTAGTCTTACGGTTGGCCTTTCCAGGACCTCAAGTGAACACAGAAAAGACAGAGGTTATGAAGTAACCTATACGAAGTCATCCCTCTGTCACTTATCTACACAGCATTATTTCAACTACAGGTGGTAGCACGGATGAGTATGTCAAAATAAGACAGGACCAGAAAGGCAAGAGAGAAGGCCTTCATTACTCTGATATCTGAATGACTGGTTTTAACGTAGAACAACTTTGTACAGATGTGCAGCAGTTCGAATTGCCACACTCCCTCCATGTACCTCACAAACCAAGAGAAGGCAGAAAAAGAGATTCAAAACAGAAATATGAGGCGAAAAGAATAGTATTATGGGAGAACAATAGAGTTTTATTAGGTATTACGAGTTACAAGGAGTGGATGCATTTGCGCCAGACATTGACAATGAGGATTTTGAGCCATATCACCACTAATTGTCTGCAGCCTTCAATGGTTCTTACCACCATCCCGAGGACCCCAACCAGTCAGTCAGGAAGCCAGTCTACACCCCACTGTGTGGCTTAAACTAACTTTTGTGGATTTGATTGACTGATAAAGCCGTGCTTTGGTTTGACCATCACGTACTAGCTATCTCTTCTCCAACCTGATCAATCCCATGTCAGTTAGCTAACATTGCCCATCGAGGAAGGCGACGGCTAGGCTGGGCATACGTAACACATGTCCTAACCATCTCAATCGATATAACTTCACAGCCTGGTCGATTGATTTCCCCTCCCAACTACCTAGCGTTCGACGCCTAACCTCATTATTGTTCACCCTATTGTACCACTTCACATGGGAGATAGAACGCAGGCACCTATGATTAAAGACAGCCAGATAGCCATGCTTTTCATATTTTCCACTCCTAATAGCCACGTCTCACTCACAGCCATAAAGGAGGGCAGAGAGAACTTCTGAGCAGTACACACGCCCTTTGGTCGATAGCCAGCCGGATATCACGTCTACTTAGACACAGACGGTGTAAACAGGCGAAACTATCCCTCTGTATCCGTACTGAGATTTCCTCAGAGATCAACCCGTTGGGGCTGGCTGATGCAACTTCCCAAATAAGTAAAGCGGTCAACATGCTCAACCACTTCAGTCCCTATTTCTAAACTGGGAGTCAGTGTAGTCCAGTCCTGTCATCATGTTACATTTGACAGTAGCGAATCACATGCCAAACATTCGTAGATTGCTGCTCAAGGTGTTCAGAAGACTCTGCTTTATTTTGTCAGCGTCCTCGCCTAGAAGGACTATATTATCTGCATATTCTAAGTCATCGAGATTATTCCCTAATATCAGTGTGTAAATTTGCTGCATTCAGTGTAAGGAACATGGTATGAATTCTGACCAACACTGATGTCAAGTCAGTTAGTGCTTCTTTATGGTTCACAGAGTTGGAATACACGTTCCATCGAAAGCATTTTCAACAGGCACTAGCACCTGTCTTCGTTCTATACTGAAGATCAGATGGCCGGCCAGAAAAAATATTAGAAAAAAGAAAGTCTGGCAGTCAGAGCACCACCAACCAACAACCTATTTGCTTAGTAAATATGCGACAGCAAATAGAGACAGACTGGACACATAACTGAATGAAATCACACGTCAAACAGTGCCTCGAAATGGGAACCAAAATAGGAAACAACTAGCTGGATTTTCAATGATGACAAGTAAGAAGTCGATCGAGGCGAAGATGAAAACTTATGAGCAATCCTGGATTCCACTAAGAAGGATTATAGAGAACACGATGAAATGGAGATGTGCTGTTGAACCCACTCGGAACACAAAGGAAAAGCAATAATAAAATAATAATAATAATAATTTCAACTACTTACCAGCTCTAGAACCATTTCTAGAAGCACGACGCAATGCAAGTTTTTTAAATATAAAACTAGTTCCAATAAATATTGTTGACAATAAAGCCAGTGAAAGACCAATGTAAAAATTAAACGACGAATCCATTTTCTTTTGTAAACGATGTATAATTAATATAAATGAATGATCAGAAGAATTAGTCATATCTTTCTTTTTTTGTCTTCTTTAATTCATGACAGGATAACCATTCGCATACATATTCTATAAAGAAGTAAGTATAAGAAAGATAGTTTAGTTGACAGCTGACATGAGCGTATTTCATTGTTAACAGACTTAGTGGACAAAAAACTAGCATAACTACGATTAAAGTATAATTTCAAAAGTGGTTTACACAGTAGACTTTGTAAAAGAACACACTTGAAGTGTAACTCATCAGTTTTAGGATTTAAATTTCATACAATATCCTCAGAATTTAAATTCTATCATGTTGCTTAGCTATCGGATCCAATACCACTGTAAGCTTCATAGCTTTATACACCAGCTTTTTAACTTACTGACTAACTGAGTTTTAGCAAATGAACTTTGTACACAAATTGCATCACTCCAAGCTGTTACACTTCATGTTATGACATAAAAGCAGAGAAAAGATGGATGAAGAAATTCAGAAATGTATGTGAGAAAGAAAAGTTATATGGAAACAAAATGAAGACCTAATGAACATGAGAGAACGCAAAGAGTGAGTACATCTGTACCAATGAGAACTATTTTGAATCGTGTCACCCACAGTCTCTATCCATTGGTTCTCAGTGTCTCAAGAACCCCTGTCCCTAGCCTATGCGTCTGACAGGTTTTGTTCTGACTTCTAATAATATAGCTTGTTGACTAGTAGAAACGTTTATCTTTAGCATAAGGTGTGAAAATAAAAGACAAAAAATAATACACTTTTGAGAGGAAATTCGACCATATTGTAGACCACTTCTTAAATATTTATATTGTCTGACTTTATTATATCAGCTAAATTTAAAAACACATTTTTGTTTATTCGTGAAAACAGGAGGGTCACAAATATCAATATGGATGTTAACACACCACGCTTCACCGGAAAAAAAGAATAAAAAGACCTACCATCTTCAAATGACATTAACTTTGTCAAATATGCTGATGACCTAACTGTATCTTTACCTGTCAAATGTCAAAGTGACTGCTCTAAACTAAATGGCTTCTTATCAGAAATCAGCCAATGGTCCAAGGAAAACGGTCTACTCATCTCAAGTCCCTCTAAATGCCAAACAGTCAATTTCACCTTTAGGCAAAAATCTGACTGACCTAAACAAACTGGTTAGAACTCACGCGGTGTGCAACATAGATGGCACTGAAATTGAAACCATGTCAGAAATTAAATATCTCGGCTTCATTCTATCTTCTGATTTTTCATGGTCGTCTCATATCTTGATGATTTCTAAGAAAATATTCCGCCTTACCTCCTACATCAAGAAGTTAAGACATTCTGGAATAACCCAGCCCTTACTGCTACAATTCGTTAACTCCCGTATTCTGCCTATTATTCTCTATTGTTCCCCCTTACTTTTTCCTGGGCTGGCTACTGAAGAAAGACTATACCTTATTACGCAGGATGTTAAAGGTTGTCAGCAGGGTAAGCCACAGGATGCCACTTAACCAGCTTGTTAATATTCTGGTTGACAGGCATTTGGACTCATGTGAAACATGGGCTAAATCTATCCTTTCTAACTCACACCACCCTCTTCATTCACAACTCTCCCCTTGTATCTCATGAGGCCATACCAGACCAGAAGCCTATATAGAAAACTATATTCTCGCACTAGTAAGTAGAAAAGCTCAACCATAACCTACTTAGCTCGTGTTCTGTGCGATGTAGAAAGCATTAGGCGTGAAACCTATAACTTATTAAATAGTCAGTGCGTCGGTGGCACAGTGGTTAGGACTCTCGCCGACCATGCACATGGTCCGGGGTTCGAGCCCACGCCGGCGCACACCTGATATCTATGGTCGGCCTGCAAAATTTGGGCTACCGATATCCATGCTGAAAATTCTATACTTGTACCAAAAATACTGTGTGGAATCAAGCTGTAAATCAAAAAAAAAAATCAAAAATCAATTTGGATCTCGTCTTTCCAACTCATATCTTTTATAGGTACAACGTTTTTTCTTTCTTTCTTTTTATTTTCTCTCTGTTTTTCGTTATGTGCTGCTTTGTTCCTTTCCTCTGTTTACGCCAGTAAATTTGCTAGAACCTTCTCTTCTAACACTTTCAAACACTCTGTTTAATTTTGGCTTTGCTACCGACATGCTAATATGTTGTTGTCAAAACTGACTGAGATAACTTTAATCTATGTAGAACTTTATTTATTGTTAACGTACTAACTGGATGCAATATTGTAGTAAAAATGCTGAGAATTCCATTCTGTATCACAAGTACTGATTTGGAATAAAGCTATTATCTTATCTTAAACTTAATACGACATGCCTTACTTACTTCACAATGAAAATAAGTTCGTTATACAGAACCTATAATAACAAGTGGGATTCGAATTTTATACTTTCTTTCATGGCTTATTAGGGTAAAACAAGGACAAAACACGCTATATATGCTCATTAATTAAGAAAAACTAAAAGTAAACACTAGTGAATTCACCTCAATCAAAAGTGAACGCTAGTCAAAACCATTTGTGTCGGTGGCATAGCGGTAAGGACGCTCACCGACCATGCACATGGTTCAGGGTTCGATCACCGGCCACAGACGCACTCTTTTACCTCGCTAAGCCAAAAATAATGCTGGTAAAAAGGGAAGGTTGGGCATGAGGCTAGCAACCCCATCCTGTAAAATAAACAGTGCTACAGAAACTTCAAGCCACTAGCTTTAAGCCCTACGTTCCACTGGGGAACGTGAAGGAAAAAAAAGTAAACATTATATAAAGTCTTCTCAAGGCTTTGGAGAATAACCTCCTTGTCGAGAAATGTTAGCTGATACGGTATAAGTGTATGAAATAGTTGACACCTGACACCAATCCATGAAGTCTTTGACGACTCGTTAGAGCCAGGTAAAGAGGTGCACTGACTGGTCAGCATTATAGTGACGCTAAAAATCAATAACTGAAGACTACTGGTGACGCTCTATGTATTCTCTTCTAGACTCATTAAGTCCTCAGGGTTTCCCCGTTTTACTATTGTTTCCCCGTATATTTCTCCTCATTTTAGTTATTTCATTTCTCTACGTTTGTGTGCTTCAAGGAATGTGACAACTTGAATCGCAGTACACATCTGCGAAGTTCCATGATGGAAGTCAATCAGTCAGTCACGGCAGCTTACTAGAGTTTATAGAAATGTCGATGAGGCCAAAAAACTTCAACCTAGAGCACCTAGGAGATGAATATGACTTTATTTTTGTGAAAACACACCAGCACAAACATTCTGGTATCCTTTTTGGCAGAACAACAGTCACAAGATTTCGCAAGTGTGAAAATGTAGTCCTTCTGAAGATCAAAGATTCCCGTCAAATCATATAATGCTTAAAAGAGCTCCAAACATTCATTTCTTCATGAAGAAATATTTTGATGCCGAAGAATCCCATAAAAATAGAAGTGAAGGTTGTGTGAACACCCTGATGTGTTCGTAGAAGATAAAATGTTACTAATAGATGTGATACGATATATATATATATATATATAACGAGAACGGGTTCACTCTTCACAACACCGCTTATGTATCCCTTCCTCGGAAAACTAACTGACCAAATAAATGGCGAAAAAATAGCAAGAGCTGTGCCAAAAACTCTGTATCATCAAGATCTACACACACCCGGTGTACAAGCTTGTACACGGAATGCCATACGTGCCTAGTTATGACAACTGTTTTAAAATTCAAAAACATGTGGAATAATTCCAAGAAGTAATCAAATGCAATCACACTAGTGAATAAATGTAAACAGTTGTGCTTTACATGAGGAACACTGAGAGCTATTCAAAGCCTAGGCTCCACTGTTGACTCAGTAACGTTCTTTAGTAGAAATTCCATGACAGGGTCTACTGGTACCAATAAACACTTGCCTAAGATTCCATATAAAGCCTCAAATCATTCTAGAAAGTAAGAATCCTGTTCATTTTTTATAAGCTACTACTGTAAACAACTAAGTTATTCCTATGCAGCGCGTTTACCTCAGGTCACTCAACTCAATAGCAAATATTATCCAAATGGTGCAGCAAAACACAAATTTTTTACATGACACTGTCCAGAAGGGAAGAAACGCAAAGGAATCATGTCAGTATGTACAAAGTGGTCATTCATTACTCTCATCCAGTGTTTTATTAATGAATACAATGTTGATAGAGTTTGTAAAAGACTCCAATATCCAATATCGTTTCTACGAGCTAGTAAAAACCAATTTGATTTCTATGTGCTCGCCTCTTGATTGTGGGGTATAGGTTCCTGGTCTCCCGTAAACTTCTGCGTAACTCGTCTCGTTACTTGACTGACGTAGCTCTGGTTGACTACCAAAGGAGTAGTGCTGGGATTAATTATATGTGCTTTATAGTATGAGGTGTGTTAAGACTGTCACTACTATGAATGGAGTTTTTACTCTCACCATTTAGTCCTCCGGTATCGTCGTCAAAGAAAAATAGATAATAATAATAGATATAATTAGTGAAGTTATTCAGACTGACAGGCGGAAAAAGAAATAAGAAAACCTAACAACAGTCAGCTGATTAAACTTGAAGAATAATATGAATTATATATACATATAATAAGTGTAGCTAAATTTGTCTTGAGAGCAAGATGGAAAAGAATGTAAAGCGGTCAAACGACAAGTTTAATTGTCTACCCCTGAATGGTGTATGGGATTTTAAGGGGATAGGCCATTTGGACATAGTCCTTATGTCTCTACATGACTGCCCAGCCTTCGCTTAAAGGCACCCAGAGACTGTGTCATAGCTAAATCTTCCGGTAAGGAATTCCAGGTACGGCAAACTCGCAGTGAAAAGAAGTTGGAGCGTACCCGGGTCCTTGCCTTCTGGTGAGCTATCCTTCTGAGGTTCCCACGAGGGAGCCTACACCTACTCAATGGCAGAGCACCTTTGTTTGGGTGATTCTGGTCGTCCGTTATATTGTCGGCAGTAATCAAATCCCCCCTAAGCTGACGGTAGCTAAGTGTTAAAAAGCCTAATTTC